TCTATTCTTCGAATAAATAACTGTAATGTTTTGATCCAGCCTATCCTAAAACTGAAAGTCTCCAATTTTATTAATAGGGCCTTTTGGATACATTGAGTTCTTCTAACATATGACCGTTACTTAAAACATATTGTTTCTAGCATTAAAAACATAACTATCTATTTTTTTTACTAGCTGGAAGGAGAAGGCGGTGTGACATTTGACCCCATGTTGGATCATCAAGGTATCTGCTGCATTGAGTGTCGGAGAAGTTACACTCAGTGCCAGAGAATCTGCGAACCTCTGGGTGGCTACTACCCTTGGCCTTATAACTACCATGGATGCCGTTCCGCATGTAGAGTCATCATGCCCTGCAACTGGTGGGTTGCACGCATCCTTGGCGTGGTTTAAAGTGACAGCCAAAATATGAACAGGAAATGTAAGCCGACGTGCCGTCGGCCATCAAAAAAAGAATAGCAATGAATGGAATAGTTGTATTAAATGTGATTGACACATCGCCTGTTGTAAATAAAAAAGACCTAAATTAATAGTTGCTACCCAGAATAGCTGAATAAAACATGTACTGTTTAACCGGTACAACATGTGTACTGAATGTGCAATATTCTTTATATAAATATTTCAACATTTCACCTTTCTAAATTAGTGCATAGTGTAGAAACTTTCCACACGATGACATAATTTAGAGATACATTTCACTCCTAAAGGTTAACTTTAATCTTTGAGGGATTTTATATTATTTTGTTTTTCACATTCTTGTAATTTGGAGAAAATAAACTTGTTGCTAAGTCAATGCCTGTTTTATTGGAATAGAACATTTCATGAAAATGGATTACATTGATTCACCCTTCTAAGCATCACCGTAAAGATGTCTGGGTAATTGTGTTGGGATGGAATACTTAAGAGAATCTATACATAGTTTGTAAATCTGTGATGTGATAAAGCATTTTGTTTTTTTATGTTATTTGAACCCTAAATAAATGCAATGACATTACTTGGAAGGAATTTGCAAGTCTTACCTGTTTACACCTTTGTGCACATTTCAAATTGTATTTCTGTAAAAAAAAAAGTAATCATGTACCAATGTACCCAGAACACAAAGATATCTATATACACTGGAACAGAGAGAGAGAGAGAGAGAGAGAGAGTGTGTGTGTGTTAGATAAACACACACACGTACATACGCACATACTGTACCCTGTATATATATATATCTCCTTGTGTTCTACATAGGAGAGGTTCTTTTTCCAAGTTAGGTATTTTGGTTGAAATTTGGCAGTTCACTTGTTAACTTGCTGTTTACTACATTCACCCGATTTCTCTGATTTGTTTCACTTCCTGATAAACTTACTCAGGAAATTTGGAATATACCGTAATAAGCTGTATGAAAAAAAAAGAGTAAGACTTAAAGGGCCAGCAATTTTTTTTTTTAAAGTGTCTCTTGCAAACTTTTTATTGATTTATTTTTAGGGAAAATGCTGAAACTAAATTCCACCACATTTAAGTGGGTATGTTCACCAAAGATTGGACATCTTGATTATTGAGGAGTGGATTCAAAAAGGAATGTTATTACTGGTAAAAAAATAAGATGACTAATATCAATATAACTAATGAAGGAGGACGGGTTGAAATGATTATAGAATGTGTTTAATTGATAACACACAGTTGTTCTCCATGATCTTCCCTGCTTCACTCCCAGCACAGAAGTATGGAAGACCATAGAGAATAACCTTCAGTTTTCAAACACTGTTTGACCTAACACATGTACATGGCTGGAGCATTCCATCATTCCATCATTTACTAAATGTAGGAATCAGGTTTTTCTCATTTTTGCATATACTTTATTTAAAACAAAATATATTTCCTTTCAAAACTGAAAGAATGGATTAAATTAAAATAGGATTTAAGTGACAATTGTCCTTTAACCCCTTAAGGACTGAGCCAAATGTACACGTTCTGATCAAAATAAACCGTAAACAAAACTTCCAATTTGCGCTGTATGTCTCTTCAACCGTAATTCACCTCTTTCATACTAAATGCACCCACCCTTATTATATATCATTTTATTCAGGGGAAACAGGGCTTTCATTTAACATCAAATATTTAGGTATGGAACATAATTTAATATGAAAAATAAGAAATGTTGTTATTTTTTTTAGTTCTACATGACATTTTAACTGTGAATGTCATAATACTGTTTGCTTTTACTGCAATAAAATGCACATATTTGTATTCAGCGATGTCTCACGTGTAAAACAGTACCCCCTATGTACAGCCCCCCTATGTACAGGCTTTATGGTGTTTTGGGAAGTTACAGGGTCAATATAGCATGTTACATTTTTCAGTTTTTTTCACATTGTAATTTGTCAGATTGGTTAGGTTGCCTTTGAGACCATGTGGTAGCCCGGGAATGAGAATTATCCCCATGATGGCATACCATTTGCAATAGTAGACAACCCAATGTATTGCAAATGGGGTATGTTCAGTCTTTTTTAGTAGCCACTAAGCCACTGGGAATATCATTCTACGTGTATTTTGATATAATAATATTGGAACATTTTTCAAGCGTGAGTGCAGGGGGTCATTGCATTTTTATATATTTAATTATATATATTAATATTAAAATACACTTAGTGTATGTGTATGTATGTGTAAGTGTGTGTATATATATATATATATATATTTATATTTATACAGGGAGTGCAGAATTATTAGGCAAATGAGTATTTTGACCACATCATCCTCTTTATGCATGTTGTCTAACTCTAAGCTGTATAGGCTCGAAAGCCTACTACCAATTAAGCATATTAGCTGATGTGCATCTCTGTAATGAGAAGGGGTGTGGTCTAATGACATCAACACCCTATATCAGGTGTGCATAATTATTAGGCAACTTCCTTTCCTTTGGCAAAATGGGTCAAAAGAAGGACTTGACAGGCTCAGAAAAGTCAAAAATAGTGAGATATCTTGCAGAGGGATGCAGCACTCTTAAAATTGCAAAGCTTCTGAAGCGTGATCATCGAACAATCAAGCGTTTCATTCAAAATAGTCAACAGGGTCGCAAGAAGCGTGTGGAAAAACCAAGGCGCAAAATAACTGCCCATGAACTGAGAAAAGTCAAGCGTGCAGCTGCCACGATGCCACTTGCCACCAGTTTGGCCATATTTCAGAGCTGCAACATCACTGGAGTGCCCAAAAGCACAAGGTGTGCAATACTCAGAGACATGGCCAAGGTAAGAAAGGCTGAAAGACGACCACCACTGAACAAGACACACAAGCTGAAACGTCAAGACTGGGCCAAGAAATATCTCAAGACTGATTTTTCTAAGGTTTTATGGACTGATGAAATGAGAGTGAGTCTTGATGGGCCAGATGGATGGGCCCGTGGCTGGATTGGTAAAGGGCAGAGAGCTCCAGTCCGACTCAGACGCCAGCAAGGTGGAGGTGGAGTACTGGTTTGGGCTGGTATCATCAAAGATGAGCTTGTGGGGCCTTTTCGGGTTGAGGATGGAGTCAAGCTCAACTCCCAGTCCTACTGCCAGTTCCTGGAAGACACCTTCTTCAAGCAGTGGTACAGGAAGAAGTCTGCATCCTTCAAGAAAAACATGATTTTCATGCAGGACAATGCTCCATCACACGCGTCCAAGTACTCCACAGCGTGGCTGGCAAGAAAGGGTATAAAAGAAGAAAATCTAATGACATGGCCTCCTTGTTCACCTGATCTGAACCCCATTGAGAACCTGTGGTCCATCATCAAATGTGAGATTTACAAGGAGGGAAAACAGTACACCTCTCTGAACAGTGTCTGGGAGGCTGTGGTTGCTGCTGCACGCAATGTTGATGGTGAACAGATCAAAACACTGACAGAATCCATGGATGGCAGGCTTTTGAGTGTCCTTGCAAAGAAAGGTGGCTATATTGGTCACTGATTTGTTTTTGTTTTGTTTTTGAATGTCAGAAATGTATATTTGTGAATGTTGAGATGTTATATTGGTTTCACTGGTAATAATAAATAATTGAAATGGGTATATATTTGTTTTTTGTTAAGTTGCCTAATAATTATGCACAGTAATAGTCACCTGCACACACAGATATCCCCCTAACATAGCTATAACTAAAAACAAACTGAAAACTACTTCCAAAAATATTCAGCTTTGATATTAATGAGTTTTTTGGGTTCATTGAGAACATGGTTGTTGTTCAATAATAAAATTAATCCTCAAAAATACAACTTGCCTAATAATTCTGCACTCCCTGTATATATATACTTAGATCATATATATAATCTAAGCATATATTATTTTATTTTAAACAGTTTTAAAACTTTATTGAACATTATTACAGGCAGCAGGGGGACTACCTATCATTCCAGGCACTCTCCCTGCTGGAACTATGGACGGCTATTCAGTCCATGTAATCGTCAGGTCAATGCAAGGATCTCGCAATCACATGGCCCAGGAGGGCCGGATCAGCAACAGGGGAATTCCCTGGGATGCCAGGTAAGTCCCTCATCACGATCGCCGGCAAGCAGGTAAGTAAATAGGACGGCGTGGACGTGCTATGCCGCCCACCAGCGTTTAGAGCCGGGTCCCCAAAGGACGGCATAGGACGCCCGCTATCCTTAAGGGATTAAGGTCATAATAGCTTCAATGGAAATTATTTTCAAATTTTGCTACATTGGCCTTAAATTTGAAATTCACTTTGAATTCTCATTTTAGCTAATAATCCTGTATGTACAACGATTATTACCACATCAGAAAGACTAAATCCAGATGTTGTTACTTCATTAAAAAGACTCTCTTCTGACAATATTGCCATACAGGATACTGTATCAACTGTTATAGCCTCTTTAAAGATCTTGTGAACTGGGACACAGCCTGTGAGTAAATGTAACCAGAAAGACAAACAGCAAGATATAGAGAGTATTGATGAAGAATGGAGATGTGAAGAAGGAAACCTTTGTATAAGAGATATTCTTTCACTTATTTTATAAATGTGAGACACCCTTCAGCTGTTTTGAAGTCTCTTTGGCATGCACTAATGGGGATTGAATTCTTTTCCCATCTTCTTGAACTACTTCACATTGACACTTGCTAACACTGACCATGGACACTACTATATAATACTGTGTACTGTGATGGTGAGGAGTTCGAACTCACAAAATCAGCGATAACAAGCAATGCAGAATTCTAGAACTAGCACGACACCTGAAACCATTAAGCATTGACCATCCACAGGCAGAGCCCATGGAGTACTTACAGTGGCAGATTTCAGTAATGTCCATGATACAGCAGTGTTAGGTCTTGGAGGCCTGATAATGTCAATATACGTCTGATGGTCATTCTATAGTCACTCTATAGTTATTCTAAGGTGTAAAAATCTGTTGTATTAACCAATGCTGTCTCAGTGCCATATTAAAGGCCTGAAAACATGATAGCAAGTCTAGAACACAGCTCTCCTCCTGGTGATATTGTAACCAGTAGCTATCACCTCTTCAGAGACCAAGATCCTGGTTACATGACAAGTTCCGTATTCACCTAATATCATAACAGCCCTCAATCTTAATAACAATTTCATCAAGATTTAGCATTATTGTATTAAACTTCTACGCCTTCTTCCGTGTCTTGAATCTATCTAGGAAATCACTTTATTAAATATTTAAAGCTTTCAATAATCGGTGTTATCAATCATACATATTCAAATTATACAACAGCAATACGATGACAAATGATGAGAGATGAACATGTAAACTGCCTGAACAGAAGATGACTCTCTTGGCAGGCAGCTGTATACTATTTGTAACATGTTGTAACCCTATGTACATGATTGCCATGTGCCATCAATCCTTGATGGTGGCACAACATGCCCACCTATTCTTGGTCATTGGCTACATCAGCTATATTTTTGAAAGAATAAATTATCAATTCATCTGCTTGATTTGCCAGTTGACCTAAATAACTGTGAATATGATGGTGTAAAATCTTGCAGTCAATGTGTCAATAATATTTATTGTTATTACACGGTAACCAGCTGTGTTTGGTACCTGCTTTTGTGGTTTAGGAATACTAGTTGCAGGTGATCTGGACAACAGACAGGCTGTCAGCGGTGAGGTCAGACCAAAATGTCAGTTCTTGGATGGGTAATATTGAACTTGTAGCAATGGGATCCTTTGTAACTTAAAGACTTTTGAGTACAGCTGGGCTCTCCAAGCTGATATTCCTGACAAGGCCGCTAGCATGGCACATTCATGCTCTCAAGCTGGCGAATAGCATGGCACATTAGTGTTCACAAGCCAGGGCGTTATCACGTCACCTTCACTCTCACTAGCCAGGCCGTTAGCACGCACATTCTCTCTCTCACGTCAGGCCTTAAGCATGTTGCCTTCTCTCTCCCAAGGCAGGTGATTAGCACGGCGCATTCTCCCTCTCAAGCCAGGCCGTTAGCACGCACATTCGGTTTCACAATCCAGGTTGTTAGCATGGCACATTTCCAGGCAGCTCTTCGTCACTAAACAGTTTTTAGTTTCAAAGCTAATACTATTGCTTTAGATGTAAAAAAATAAATAAATAAAAAAAATAGTAATCTTATATGGTTCAGTGCACAGATTTTTACAGCCAACATATAACACTAAATAATTGACAAGCCATTTTTAAAATTAATTTATTATACTAGATATAGGATGTCCAAAGGCTACAGTGGCTTTCACAACATCTAGTTAGACCTTAGTGACAGTAATATTCCAAATGTGGCAAGACTCCCAAACTGGAAATGTCCAGTTTTGGTGGAAAGAGCCGATTATACTATGACATGGAACTTGTCTTACTAGAATCTGCATCACCATGACTGGGTGCAAGGTATAATGTGCATTCTACCTGCAAACACCCAGACATTGGAACTCACACGGCATCATTTTGGTAGAACATCTCAGGGCTCCAAGAAAGAACATTTTCATATTGTATTACAAGATATTTAATCATGTTCTAATTATTTTAGTAAAGCATCTTTGTTAGGAACTGAGTACAAAGGAATGCTCAGAGTTTCCTTAAAGGGACACAATAATCACCAAAATTGATTTAGCGTAATGAAGCAGTTTTTGTGCATATGCCTGATGCCTCGATGAAGTCTCACTGCTCAGTGCTCTGCCATTTAGGATTTAAATCACTTTTGCTTCAGTCCATGCAGCCCTAGCCCCACCTCATCTGGCTGAGACTGACACAGCCTGCATTATTTTATTTTATTTTTAATTTCCAATCAGATGTTAACTTAAATTGAAATTTAAACACACACAAGAGGCTCGTGCAAGGTCTTTCAAGCAATTAACAGAGCAGGAGATAAGAATTTCTAAATTAAACAGAATTTGCAATAAAGGAAGTGTAAATGTTAGATCTTACTTTAAAGGAAATGTTTAGGAAGTCTGTGCATATTACATGCAGAGAGGTGTGACTAGGGCTGCATAAACAAAGTTATTTAACTTCTAACTGTCAGCGAATTGAGCAGTAAGACTGCAGGGAATTGATCTATCTATACACTAGAACTGAGTAATTGAGCTACAGTTGTTTTGGTGGCTATAGTGCCCCTTTAAATGTTACTAGAAATCTGCTTTTTACAGGAAATAAAGATATATATATATAAAGATTATATGTTGTAAGAAATATATTTAAACAAACTGATTCAGAGAAATGTACAGAGATATAGCGCATGTCTCACTCAGGTGATAAATAGTTATATAGATATGTAACTAATAGTGTATATTACAACCATGGTATAGTGGCTGTATAATAGTGTATGCCACACCCAGGGATGGGTTGATGTATACCAAAACTAAAGGAATGAATGGATATACTAGCATGCTATATGCAGAGGATAGGTTATGCCACATCCAGGGCATGGATAGATCTATACCACACCCGGTGCATGGATGGACAGAGTATGCTCAAAACGGTGGGGGGTTCAATTTACACAATAATCTAAATATACTGCGACTTAATTTATAAGATAATTTATAAAACAACAATATATTATGTGAGATATGGGTTTAATGATTTGGAATGCAAAACCCGATCAATGCACATACACCTTAATGGATATGAAAAAAGCCACAATACTTTTAATCCATTGACCTTATGCAGATAATAATACGCATAACATTTGATATAAAATGTAAAGACTGTGTATGGCATATGATCAAATCACAATTTAATTTTCCCTTAAGTCGATTATAATTTAGTATTGTTAATTTTGTCAATCAATATGTTTAGAAAATTACATAGTCAGAGGCAATGGTAAATAAGAGGTCTCTCTCGCATATATTATGCCCAAACTTTGAAATGCATGAACCAAAAAATCTAAAACAATATTACAAACCCAAGGAACAAAAACTGTCTTGTGGGACAATACAGACCTTTTTTAAAAAAAAATTCTTTCTTTTATTAAGGCATATGTGATGGGTACAGAATAAAGAAAGGGAAATGCATGGGTGTTTTACAGGGTTAGGGTTAAGACAGCGAAAGCATTGTTTGATTACATTTCCAGAGAATTAATGCCTCATTTTTATTTTTTGTATGTCGATTAACGCAAGCGTTTTATAAACAGGTTGAAATAAGATACAAGTCAGCTGTCTTTAGCTAGTAGCAAAAACAAACAGATTAAACTGATAACAGGTTGAATCTAAACGTACAGGTGCATATGCACCGAGCTGGCATGGGCAAGCTAACTGTGTAGGTTGATATAGTGGCTGGTTACCTCCCTTCCCTGCAGAGCAACCCTGTGCAGCGGTAAGACTAGGTATAGTGAGGTTCGCCGGATGCCATTAACGTGAACCTAGGTGGGGGACAAGAGGATGGCTTACTCATTGCTTTTAGGTCCATAATTTTGGCAGTCCAACGTCCCACATGTGAGGGTAAGTCCAAGTTCAAATGCCTGAAATGGCCACCGGCAGTAGGTTCGAGGTGTAATGTCCCTCCATTATCAAGTCATCAGTGCAGTTGCGGCATATGGTGGAGTGTGGGAACGGGGAGTGTGGCTGATGTGGTCGATGGAGTCAGCCGATACCTTTGCTGGGCTTCCTGGGAGGCGGCACCTGGGGGTACCGGTAAGCGGAACGGGTGCACGTGTGGCGGGGGGTCCCTCCCCCGCTCCAGGCCTTGTTGACGGTCGGCACATTTGGACCACAGACTCGGATGCTCTGGGAGGCCGGGTCTTTTCCTCTGCGGGCGCTATGGAGGAGCCTGGTGTTCTTCCACCGCCAGTGGCGTGTGGCTCTCCGGCGTTGTGGCCTGTGCCTCGGAGGGGTTTTCCTCACGACCTTTGGCCCAGATGGTCTCGAGCCGTTGGGTATACGCTGTGTAGCTGCGCCCGGGGAGGGCCCATTCCGCCTCTCCTCTGCGCACCCCTCCACATCTCTTTCATAGGGAGGCAGTGGTTGGGTTGCTCGCCGTTCCAGTGTCTCCCAGAAGCGCAGAAATAAGGCATCTAGCCGCTCTTGCAGTGGCTGGTAGGGCGCTAGCTTGGGCGCGTGGTCCTCCGCCACCATGTTGCAAGCAGGGAGTAGGCCGCTTGGTGTCATCGATGTGTGTGGCATCTTGTAAGCCAGGTCGGTGTGGGCCGGGATAACCCCCACCGCTCCATAGGGGGGGGGACGTGGGCTCTGCAGATTGTCAGCTGAGTGTGGTGGCGGCGGGAGAGCGGCCGTCTCCCCCAGGCCGCCCATGCGTGTAGGCCACATGTGATGGCCGAGCGGTATCGAGCGGGATATCCACTTGTGTGGCATCATTATGATGGTCTCAGGCTCCCCTGAAGAATGTCAGCTCGTGGGTGTCTAGTTTAGGTGGCTGTGCAGGTAAATGTGGTTTAATTTCTCATTTGTGGCAGGAGCTGATGTTGCCTGCGTCCGCTCAGCTCAGCGGCCAGGCCCCGCCCCCCGACAATACAGACCTTAAACACCCTTGACCTTATAGCATTGGCAAGCCCAAAGTTCCAATGTGCTGAAGAAAGAATCTACTCCACCATCCAGGAATGGAGATAGGGTTCAGGACAGGCCCGGACTGGCCATCGGGCGCCGGCCCTGCTATGTGCCTCCGTGGGCCGGTGGGGAGATCAAAGATCTCCCTCACCGGCCCACAGGCAATTATAACCGGCCGCCAGCTGGGTGAAGGAGGGAGGCAGGGAGGAGAGAGGACCCGGCAGAGCTCTAACAAGCAGCTCCGCCGGGTCCTCTCGCGGGATTCTGAGCGTTGCCGCGGTTACCACGGCAACGCTCAGATCTCACGAGAGTGAACTCTAACCCGCAGGTTAGAGTTCACTCTCACCACTGGACCACCAGGGAAGGCAGCATGGTCCCCCCTCAAGGCACCCCTGGCAGAACGGATCTCCTCCCCCCCCCCACCTCCCAGGATAAAGGTAAGAAGGGAGGGGGGGATATAAAAAATTTTTTTATTAATAAAAAATATATATATTTAAATTAAAAATACATTCACTCACACACTCACACACACAGCACCCAGACACAGCACCCCCCAGACACACACAGCACCCCCAGACACAGCGCACCGACACACACACAGCGCACCCAGACACACACACAGCACCCCCAGACACAGCACCCAAACTCACACTGCACCCCCAGACACACACTGCACCCACAGACACACACAGCACACTCCCACACATATACAGCACACACACACACATATATATATATATAAAATAAACCCTCAGTGAGTTAACAGACAAAGAAAATTAGAAACCTAGAATGTGACAGCAGATAAAAACACCCTCACACACAGCACCCCTCTTACATACACACACACTGCGCCCCTCACACATACAATAAGTCCAAATATATATATATATATATATATATATACACACACACACACTACAGCACCCCTCACACTGCACCACTACACACATTACGCTCCAGATACACACTAGATCCCTTACCCTATATGCACTCTTAATCTTCTACACACACACACACACACACACAATGGGTCCTTTACACAGTAGATCTCCTACACACACACACTACATTCCTTGTCAGCAAACACATACAACATTCTCTAAACACACCCTCTCTGCAACCCCTACACACACTACGTCACCTATACACACACACACTTCAGCCCGTATGCACACACTCGCTGCATCCCCTATAAAACTATGCCCCCTATACACACACTCTCTACAGCCCCTTGCCACACATATTACACCACAAACACAAGTGAAATTAACCTATTTACACAATACCACACCACACTCTACACACACGCAATCCAAACATATGCACCATACACTTTCCTGGCCCTTTTGTCCTCTGGTATCCCACTTGTGGAGACACCAGAGACAATTTAAAAGCAAACACAGCGCAAGCATGTTATTAAATTTGCTTGCGCTGCGCAGAACAAATTCAGGGCCTTTTTCTAAAGCCAGAGCTCTTCAGCAGGGCTCTGGGCATTGAACCAACATGCTCACTTTTAGAGGGGGCGTGCTTGTCACTAGTGATGACAAAACACACACTCTCTAGCCCCGCCCCCTTCTTAGGGGGCCGCTCTGATTGAAAAATGCCCTGGCCTAATTTTTTTCCCAGTCCGGCCCTGGTTCATGCAAACATGCTGGCGATGAATCTCAATGTGCTAAACAGTCGGAGTTGTACATCTTGGCCATTGGAAGAATCTGTCATTCCCTGCTGTCTGATGTGCACATGTTCTCAACAGCTATCATAATACAAAAAGCGGAATATGTTCCTGCATCAGCTAGAAACCGGTATCAAACCTTCCACAATTCACAAATGTATGGTGACAACACACAGCTTGTTTACATCAGCAAAATACTTCTCAGAGAAATGAAGTATTCTATGGATGACATGAACAATAGTCCACTAGGTTGGTGCCTGATTTCACAAATGCTCTTTAATTTGGAAGTGGTGATACTGATACAAGAAGAAATGCAAGATACGTGTGACTAAGCTGGGTCTTACACATACGAATGTGGTACAACATGTTAAAACTGGGCATCTCTTTGACAATGGCTCCAATTCCAGACCATGAGAACCTGATCTCTCTCTCTGACCTTCGGCAACAATCTCATGTAGAAATCTTTTTTTTGTTGCTTTTAATAAGTGCAAATCTTTTCTTCATCCTGCTGAGAAGCAATACAACTAATAAATGTTATCTATTGATTTAAGAAAAAAATTAAATACTTCCCTGAGTGAGTACTTTGACTTGTTTTCAATTTGACAATTTTATTATTTTTCACATAAAGTAAAAATAAATAATACAATAACAATTCCAGAGAGAAGTGCCAGCGTTGCAATTACAATTAAATTTGTGATAGGAGTACAACCATGTCAGCTGTGGTACATACATGAATTATAACACTGCATACGATGCCCAAAAAAGAGAGTGCATCACGGCATTGTATTTTATCCTGGTATATTTTCGGTACTTTTCCATACTTAGTTTGTACGTCCTGCACCCTAGGATGTAGTGTGGTCTATGGGTATCGATCTGTGCTGCAAGCACAGGCAATCCCATATTGTGGTGAGTGGGCAACTGGCAGAAGCCTAGTGGCCAGAAAAATGATCCAGAACTGTGTTCAGTGATCCTTTAGTTAGGGATGTATGGAGAGGGGATACCCTTGTGGGTGTCCCTGAAGACCGTGTAGGTGTTGTTTTTTTTGCGTTTTTTAAATTTATAAACATTTGTGGTGGCGCAAGAGTCAGATTTATTACGAGACCCGTGTAAGAAGCCATGTGAAGTGTTTATACTTATGTATTTGTGATTGCAGTCTGTGCATCCCATCTGACTCATAGGAAAACCTCCCGCATCCCACCATAGGTGTTTCCTCGCCATGCATTTATAATCTATATTGGTTGTGATTTGTTGTATGAGGGCTTGCCAAGAAGGTTTATCAGAGGATTTCCAGACATTGGCTGCTAATGTGTTTGCAGCTATTAAAATATGAAAAAGTAGTATGGGGTCCACCTTGCGAAAATCGTCCCGGGACGTAGTAGGCTAAGTTCAGGTGCGAAGGTAATGGTTTAATTAAAAAAAAGCTTGAGATCTCCCTTTCCACTATTCCCCAAAAGGGCCTCACTCTGGTGTCCGTCCACCAGTGGAATACATGGGGACCATTGCAGCCTGACATCTCCAACTTGTACCAGAGGAGTTCAGGTATATCCTTGTCAGCTTATCAGGCACCATAAATGATTCAATATGTACAGGCACTATTTTATCTGTAATGGTGCTAGGTATCAAGGTAACCCACAACAAATACCTTCAACATATGATACCGGACTCAAATTTTAGATATAAAGCAAAAATTTGATTTTTTATTGTTCTGCCTTTTACAAATCTCTTAAGTTCAGTAGAATATACAAATATGGCAAAGAATACTGTGTTACAAGAAGTTATTTCTTATATGGTCACAACCATACAACACCTTGTGTGATATGCCTAAACAAAAAAGGAATAAAATATCCCCAATCAAAAATCTGACTCATTAACCGGTGTTAATAGCGTAAATGAACATTATATAAATGAGAGCCCTGTCTGCAACCAACAATTGTTGTCTAATTTGCAAACAATTGAGGTGGTTATGGATGCGCCGGCCCTGTATGGATGTGGAGTATACCTTTAAAATCTTCATTTATAAAGTGCCACTTTCATTGTGAAATTAGCACTTTTATATCTGAAAATAGAAATGCTTCTCCAGCTGTTTGACATTCACTTCCTACTTCCTTTAGCTCCACTGACCTAAGGAAGTAGCAGGCACGTCCTAACAGAGCGTTCCTGCCTTACAATACTGGCTGCAAGAAGTGCCCAGGTCACAGGCAGGAGAGGATTTGACAAAGTGAGGGAAAGAGAGGGGGGCTCTGACACAGGGAGTGGAGAGTATGTGACTCAGGGAAGGGACGCTTTGAAATAGGAGAAGGGAGGCTCTGACGGAGGGTGGATTTGACACAGGGAGGTAGGATTTGATACAAGGAAGGGAGGAGGGAGGCTTTGACACATGGAGGGAGGGGGGCTAAGGCACAAGGTGGGATTGTGGGAAGGAGAGACACCTGAAATAGAATGGAACAGAGGCTTCTCTGTGAGAAGCTTCTGGTTGGACAATTCTCTGTTTAGTGACTGAAAGTTACTTCCTGTGAAAAAGAGGAGGGCTTACAAAGGCTGCAGTCATAAGAACCGCAGCTTTTGCAAGCTGTTTTATACTATACTTCCAATCAATAAATACATAAAAATATATGTATTTCTACATACACTACTGGTCAAGAAGCACTACCGGCAATTACAGAGGTCAAACGCCTTTTACTATATACATGCCAACAAAGGAGGCAAACTCCTAGCCCGTATGCTCAAAGGTCAACAAACACTTGCGCAAGTGCACAAGCTGAAACTACCCGGAGGACAAATGACTCAACACCCTGAAAAAATAGCGAATGAATTTCGAGCCTACTACACTCAACTATATAATCTGCACTCACAGCCCCCTACCATCATGGCACACACCAAGAAAAGGGAGATTCAACAATATTTAGCACGACACCTCGCCAATCGCGTAACACAAGACGAGGCTGAACTCATGGATGCTCCGTTCACTGAAGAAGAAATTAAGGCAGCAATCAAAACAACAAAGACGGGCAAGACACCGGGTCCCGACGGACTCACTCTTGAATACTATAAGAAATTCGGGAACACGCTCATCCCAAAATTAACCAAAGCCATGAACGCAATCACAACGGGGAACAAGCTCCATGATGAAATGCTGGCAGCAACCATAACCATCCTCCCCAAGCCGGGAAAGGACCCAGAGAAGTGCAGCAGTTATAGGCCCATCTCTCTCCTGAACATAGATATTAAATTATTCACCACAATTATTCATCACAACCCAGAATTTCTCTTCCATGCCTTCTAAGAGAATTCACAACATATGGTCATATATCTGGCCTTAAATTAAATCTATCAAAATGCGAGGTCCTCAATATATCGATACCCAGCGAAGAGAACGATTGCTTACGCACACAATTCCAATTCCACTGGTGCGAGTCCAGGATAAAGTATCTATGAATCTGGCTCACCAAGGACCCACAGGATCTTTACGCATCAAATTTTATTCCGCTCCTCGCCAAGATACAACGAGATCTCTGTGATTGGAACCCCCAACACATATCGTGGTTGGGGCGCATCGCCGTAGTGAAAATTAATATTTTGCCCCGATTGCTCTATTTGTTTCAAACGTTACCAATGACGATACCCTCAGCGTATTTCTCCTCCCTCAGATCAGCAATCATCACATACATTTGGAAGGGTCAATGACCCAGGATCAGACATGAAACCCTATGCCTCCCTCGTCACTGGGGTGGCCTCGCGCTCCCAGACATGAAAAAATATCACCAGGCCACTACGCTGCAACGCATACTAGAGTGGCACACTCGCCCACCACATAAACAATAGATCTCGCTGGCCATGCGTCAACACAGTGTGGGGGACCAAGGCTGCAGCCAAGAAAGAACCAGACAGAACATCACCGACAACACATACCTTACATGTGTGGAACAAGGTGAGACGGGCCAATCACATATCTCCGACACCAAGCCCAATGATCTCACTTACCAACAACCGATCAATAGGAGGCAGCCTCACTGCCAGAGCATGGGAATACTGGGAGAACAAGACTACGTACCACTCCGCAACGTCCTGGATGACACCAACTTAAAACCACTTTCAGAATTCACCAACACGCAAACCCGACCCCCCAGCAGTCCTTCCGCTATACTCAATTGCGACATTTCTACCTTTCGTTCCGTGATAGAGCGACTGTACACAGGGCCCTAACACCATTCGAGAAGTTGTGCCTAACCAACACGAGTATTGGCAGAGCAATTTCTACCAATACATCCTCACGGGAGATCGCACGGAAATAATCACATTTAAGATGCAATGGGAACACATCACAGGCCATGAATTTACCCCAAAACAATGGGAAAAAATAATCATCTTACACCACAAATCTTCCGTGAGTTCCCGATACCAAGAAATCAATAACAAACTCTTGTCACAATGGTTCAAAACTCCATCACGCCTACATAAGATATTTCCCAGTGTACCAGACACATGCTGGAGGTGCGGGGAAGAGGACACATCTGGTGAAACTGCTCAGTTATACAGCCATTCTGGAACCAGATCAGC